ATTATATCAAAACACAGCACCTAAATGCAGACACCACTTTTACTGGGCAAACTATAGCCAACAATTAGGAGCTATCTTATCAGTACTCAGTTTTAAAAATGCTACTTGATGTAAAACAAAACTACAAGAGACTTTACATCCCTCCACCATATTGAAATCTTGGGTGATTCAATGATGCATACACTAATGGATTATTACATTATGCAGCAAGTATTCTTAAGCAGCTGTAACTTATAAACTGCTTCAAGGACACCTCTCTTTCAATGAAATTTGATGAAATCAGACGGTTATAACATGCAAACACAGCTACTTTAAAACATAAAAGGTAAAGTCTGTTATCCCCCAAATCGATGTACAGTGTATTACAAAATAGTCAATATATGAAAATCAACATCAGGTTAATGACAAACTTATTACATCATGCAATATACATTATGAAATATTAAGAAAGAAAATAAGGTTCTTGACAGATACACCTAAGCGATCTCCCCAAATTCATCAGTTATCAGATGAAAACTCGAGAACATACGTAAAGCCGAAAATTAAAAATATTGTTTAGCCCTACATCCAAATCCACTTTTACAAGTCCAAGACAAGGAGCACAATTACATGTACGTCATTGCACAACCTGAATATAATTATATTTTCTACATCAATTGCACTATTTAAATGGCATGCACTTTTTTCATGGAGGAGGTCTGTGTTCTACTCCCATCAAATGGGGAAAAAATCTAGAAGAAAAAAAGCAAGAAGCAGAAGGAGATAAGACACAAGTGTCCTTTCAATGACTGGACCAATATAATGGCACGACTGATCAATTTTCTTGAAAATCAAATCATGAGATAAGATCATAATTTGGAATTCCACAGCTGTTAATTCATGCATAGAGTTACATGGTTGCATAAATTAATTTGCCACTGTAATGCACTATGGACTTGTTTGACTGTGCATCTACAGTACATGTAAACAAGAATAAAAATCATTCCAAGTACAATTGAATATGAACAATAATTTTACACCTTCTATAGAAGACGATGCAAATAACCAAACTACAAGGCTTGCTGCACAAGAAAGGTGGTAAAACTGATACGCATAAATACAAACATATCAACATAATGCCCATTAAATATGGTTTAATTTTCGTAATCAAACAATGTAAGGCCTTTGAACCAAGTTTTTATTTAATTGAAATAAAACAGATGAAACAGAAAGAGGATACAATAATGACAAGAGGATGTATGTGTGTGAGAGACAGGGGTGGTGTGGAGAGAGATGGAGATACCAAGGATGAAAGACCAATGAGAGAAAGATGGAAAGAACAATAACACACAATTTAATTAGAAATAGCAATTTCATGGGGAAATGGTTTAATCTGTCAAAAAATCATTAATAAGGCTTAATTACAGATATTCATTTTATCAAAGGTTAAAATGAGAACAGATATCTGAAGAAATAGAGAGAAGGAGATATATATATATATATATATATATATATATATATATATAGATTGAATGGAGAGAGTATACAGTTAAACAATACCTTATTTGACTGTACAAGTAATTCACAAGTCTAAATTGAAGAACCAATTCAAATAGATAAAAACATGTGGTTGTAAATCTTAACCAGATAGAACAAATATCAGTTGAGGTATGAGAGGGGGAGAGAAAGGCAAATAAAGTGGATAGTGAAACAGTAGAGAGAGGGAGAGAGAGAGAGAGAAGAGGGGGGAGGTTACCCCGCCTGGTCCTATCATATACAGTTTACCTTTTTGTAGTTTGCGTATGAAGATTTAACATAGTCTGAGAAAGTTTAATGAGAGGGTCTGTATCATGATATTGATACCACAGTGATATTAATCCAGGGCTTTTGAAGAAGCTTCAAGTTGGGCAATGATCTTTCGAACTTGTGGCATATCATCTTGCCTGTTTGTTTCAGGATTGAAGGTGACATAACCTAAATGTTTCAACATAGCTGGTGTTACTCAGGCCATAAGTAGTTTTTCGTGTCTTTTTTCTGAACAAGTTTGATGCACTGTTTAGTCATTCCAGAGGATGATATGCACTGCTTTTCTATGATCGATGCAACAACAAGGAAATAGAATTTCGGATCCAACAGCATAAAAATGCTTCATCTCTCTTCACAGTTGAACTTACATGTAAGTGGAAATGCCATTTTTTGTTCAAAGGAAGATTCCTCAAACATGACTGTGCTGACACACTTGATGTAATACGACAGGCTGGAAATTTGAGTATCAATTACAGCAAGATTGAGCAGGTAAGGAGACAGCAAAGGCCATCTGGAATTCTGGACACTAGGTAATGTTGACATTGTTGCGTTATCCACCACAGCGAGGAAAACCACCTGGCCCATGTTTGTCTCGAAGGGAAACCGGCATTTCGTTGGGTCCACTCAGAAGTTCAGAACTCTGGTTCATGTGCCTGACAGTGTTGGAGGTTATAACATTGGTAGCTCTGTCAAATAAAAGAAACAAAAGATAAAAGATATTTTTCATTTAATTTAAATAAAAATTCCAGGAATCATGAAATGATAACTTATAGTGGACGAATAAAAAATTCATCAGGACACTTATTATCTGTGATGGTTATTATTTCTACATTTCTCATGGCTACATGTGGATCCTTATTAAGCAATGTCCATATTTGAGTGATGCAATCTCTTGTTTTCCTATGTTCTCTAATTAAGACCTTAAGACTTTGCAAGATTATATCCATATTTCAATAGATTGCAGTATGGTTGCTTGTAACTAATTTTTAAAGTAATAATTAAAAAAACAGCAGAAGACAAAATATAGCTTGATACTTTTGAAAAATTATCATGATCATCACTATGCACCTGTTGGACACAAATTCTACCAATATATATAATATATATAATATATAGAGATAGACCTAGGTGTATCTCAATGAAACCATTGCAGTGCTATTTTTGATGAGCCATGGGTGGGCATTACAAGGCATTATCTTACTAAGAAGCCTGAGAAGACAGGTGAATACAAGTGAATGTACACATCTATCTTTTCTGTCCATGTCACATGCACGTACCCGCTTGTGCAGATTGCTTTACTGTCACAATATTGAAACAAACGAAAATAACCTGACAAGCTACATGGACGCAATATGTATGTGGGGTCCTATTCATGGCACTACATGTGCATGTACGCACATTTATCTCTTTAAAATGCTGTGTAAATTATGGCCTATGTCAACCGCATATATTACAAAAATAACTGTGCCTGAATCATCATCTGTGCATAGTAAATCTAATACATTTTTTGTATGCCTATATTCATACTTCTGGGTTAGCTATAGGACTTTATGCACAAAAGAAAGCTATGTGGTGATTTCCTACAGAAGTGTACTACAAAAGGCAAGGAATAAAGTAAACATTACCATTTTACTTATGGGAGCTCTTGTTGAGTCGCAAAAGTGTTTTATCAATATGTAAATGCAGAGATCTTTATCCAAATATGTTTTTAAGTTTTAATCAAAGCTCTTTGGGAACTTTCCAGATCATCATGAATCCAGAGTTGTTGTTTGCTGATTACCAAGGTGCCAAACAGTTTTTAATGCAAATGCCCCATTATTTAAAAAAGAAGTGCAGTCTAGAGGTAGGCCTAGAAAGTCTGTAACATTGAATCATCCTTTATCTACAATCTACACTAAGAAACAAGCCGTTTTCCCCTACTTATTATTCTGACTCGGTTAGTTCTGCCATTGAAAAGTTAACTTCGCAGTCTGAAAGTCGATACGCATTACAAATAAACATCAAAATGTAGGTCTATGGCCATACAATGTTGATGTGTATACGTCGATAGTCCATAAGCTATGCTACCACTCCAGTAACCCACAAATACAAGTACACACAATGCAACATTTAAATGTACTACTCCAAGGTTTCTGAGTAACAAGAAAAATATCTGGGCCCTGTAACACTAACAGTTACACTAAGTTTTGCGTTCGATTGCATTTATTCTGATTGGTTAATGGTCAGCAGATTGAACAATTTGTGCATGCAACAATGATCTAGACTGGTCCATTGTCATTTTGCAACTGGCGTTAAACTTATTGTTAACACAAGGCCCAGATCATTACCACTTGCCTTATTTTCTTATTTCTTGTTACCCAGCTTGCCCAAACTGCACTGGCACCGCACTGGGCCGGGCCGGGATGCGATTGTCCACGAAATCACATTTTATTGGAGGTGGATAATCTCCACTTCTACAGTTGTTTATATTCTTATTTTATATCTAGGTTATACAAAATGGTGACTAAAGACTTACCACTGGGATAGTAGCGATGTTACTCAATAAAACACAGAAAAACGCGGTCTTTATGAGGTTTTTTTACCTCCCAAGTCGACATGAAAACAGGTCACTGAATGCCCTGCCGGCCAATTCATGGCCAGCGCTAGCTAGCAGCGAGTCGCCCAGCCCAGGCTATCGGGGTGCACTGCGCGGCGATTTGCGGCGCTGGAGCTCTGGCTGTGTTTTCGATGCTTCCATCCACCGCTTGACAAGGCGGTGGTAAGCAATAGCAGCGTAATGTACATGCTGCTATACGGAGACCAGTTTCCCTGGTTAGACCTTGGATCCTGCGTCACTAAAGACGGGGACACGGCACTGGCCTAGGTCGTACCTATGGATATCGAGCGCAAGGATCCATAGTTCTACCTAGGATATTATGTGGATCAGGTGATGCTAGATGATCAACCTTTTCTGATCGATTCCACAACGTTTCTTTCACAATGCAATCACATAACTGGTCTTTTATTTTAACTTAGAGGCCGTGTAGCGAAAAGAAAATTGAGTTTGAGACCATGGTTTCTCCATATTTTTCTTCTAACCTAGTCCAAGCATTGATGTTGTCCGTCCATAATCCGAAAAATAATGTATAATGGCAATACATGGGGTATTGAACTTAAGTTGATTTCTCAAAGGTTCACCGTGTTTCAAAAGAAGAAGCTGGCTATGAATTACTCACCTGTAAGTGTTCCTGCACATGTCGACCCTAGTCCTTCCGCGAATAAACTGAGAGCCATGGCCATGTTAAAATTCCGATTGTCATATACTGTATCTTTGAATAAACTGCCCGCAATAGCATCCTCGGTGAAGAAGGTGAAACCTTGGACAAAAGCCAAGGAAGCCCGCACCGCGTAAGAAGAACTGATTAAGTCCAGCAGAAATGATGCCGTGCCGAAAAAGCCTATGGCGATGTAGACGACATAAACATTGATGCCTTTGCCGACGAGGATGATGAAGATGGTCCGACCGATGATGCCACCTATGCCGCCAATTGTGGAGAGGAAGATAGCTTTGGAAGGAGGGATTCCCAGGTGTTCAGCGTGGGGGACCAGAAACAGCATCCACGAATACATGGAGAAAAGGCACAAGAAATTAATCGGGATGGTGAAAAGATAGAGTGGTTCGTTTAATATTCCACAGAACCGTTTGCCGGTTTGAAAGGCGGAGCTTGTCCAAGATGAGCGCGCATTCGGGGATGTTTCCTGTGTACTGGTGTTACGTCTCTCGTTTTGAATCAAACGCCTTTTCTCTAAGACGCACTCTTCACTATCATCTTCCTCCTTATCCTCCTCTCTTTCCACTTCCTCCTCCTCCTCGCGATAACAGATGCCTTCTGTTTGCATTGAAGGCTCTCCTTTAGAGAGACACTTCTGTTTCTCTTTTACTTCATTATCACTTCTGCCTTCATTTGTAGCTGCGTTTTTTGGTGCTTTGCGTATCGTTGCACCGCACGCGAAAAGGTTAAAAGCAATACCGCCAAGGATAATAAAAGCCCCTACATAGCCATATGCTTCGAATGACCGTTCCATTATAATAGGGAGCAGCATGGATCCAGTGGTGTAGCCGTACAACGTGATTGTGTTCATCAAAACGAATTTTTCTCTGAAGAAATCATTCAGTGCAATCACTGTTGGCATGTAGGTCATTGACAAGCCAACACCTGTGGGAAAAAAATGAAAATGAAATATCCTGCGTTCGTCCCTGCTAGTAGTGCTACTACTACTACTACTACTACTACTATACTACTTTTAATATTACTACTGAAGAATGCAGAATTGACAACAGACTTAACTCCGTTTCGTTGACAATCAGCTATGCATGAAGTCTTTCATCTACGGCTGATTGTCTACGAAACGGAGTTAAGTCTTTTGTCAACTCTGTTTGCTACTACGGCAGGCAGCCAGTAAAAACGATTTCGTTTGATAAAATTATGGAAATGCAAGCACTACTTTAAACAAACGGAACTTTGGCATTCCTTGCTCATTTTTCATGATTGAGGTGTCATATGAAAGGGCAGAAACTCAACTTTCTAGAAATGTGATTTTCTCTATGAAATTCAGATACCGCCCGCCAAATGTTTGGTTTCCTCTCTTCAAATTGGTTTTAATCACTCATGCGTGAAATATGCACTATATGAGTTGCATCAAATGAAAGAAGAGTATCTAAGCTTTCCAAATATGTGTCATTTATCAATTATAATTGTGATTAAGTTATGATAAAACATCGATGATTCTCGGTTTCGTTTTTTCTTGGACGCACTGTATAATACTTAAACGCTAATAATGATAATAACTATTATCATGATAATACCAAAATAGGAATACCAAGCTGCTTTTTCTTAAAAGTTGATGGCGATTATTGCGTTTTCCGTCAAACCATTTCAATATGTTATGTTCTTGTAGCTGAGTAATCACGTCGTAAGATGGCGCTGTTAACTGTACCTACACACGGAGCTACTGATTAGGAGAGTTTGGCCTACTCGGTTGTAGTTGGGCTCAATATAGATAATACGGCTTTTGTTGGGCAAATTCTTTGGCCCGAATTCACAAAGGAGGATTGTCGACGAACCTAGATGTATGTGCGTCATATGACGCGTTTCGACGCATTTCAAACCAAGGTTATACAAACTTTGTTGTACAAACCTTGGTTTGGAACGCGTCAAAACGCGTCATATGACACATATAAACCTAGATTTGTCGACAAACCTCCTTTGTAAATTCGGGCCTTTGCGAATGAAAGTGCCAGGCTGGACGTTTATTAATAAATATGATTTATGACGTCATGATACGCCATCCATATCGTTCAACTTACGCTGTGCAATACTATACAAATATTGACTGCTCACGAGGATGATGGTGTGAACACCACCGAGGGAGTGGTAATTCCCACCATCATCCGATTACAGAGCAGTCCATATTTGTTTTATATACCTCATCCTTTTTATTGATTCATGATTAGTTCTAGCTGTATGTCTAGATCTAGCTTTAAAAATCAGGAAACGAGATCAAGAGGAATTCACTCACTAGAATAAGAAAAATCCAACATCAAGTCAAAATTAAAGGCAAGAGTATTGAATTCCTACGCGCTGCGCGTAACCGTGCGCGCGATTGCGGTAGCCTAGCCACTCATAAAAATTGTGTGCGCAACTAAGTCGCGGGAGGGGTTAGGGGTCCTATCCCAGGGTTTGAGAGTAGCTATCAAACCCTATGACGTAATAAAAAACTTGATATATCGAAATGCTCTTTGACATGTGATATAGTTTTGACCAATCAGTGAATGACAATCTATGTATGAGGTATATAATAAACAAATAGTGAATGGTCATGAGTGCAATGGTACAAGATTTTGCCCGAGGTGAAAGATAAGAGACGCTATATTCAACGAGGCGCAGCCGAGTTGAATGGAGCGTCTCATCTTTCACCGAATGCAAAATATTGTTCCATTGCACGAATAAAGACCATTCACTATTTGTTTTATACAACACCTCGGACGTTAACGGGCTTAACACAGTTTTCCTAGGCCTAAATCTCAGCGATTTTTGTTTGTTTTCAATTCATGAAATTGATGATAGTGAGCGCGCACTATCAAGCAGGCAGCAAACCTTTATGTTTATTGTTACGCGGAGTGCAATTTCGTTTGATCCTTTCGCACCATTGCACTCTGACGTCACTTAGCTTACCATATACTTTGTACATTGTTAGTGACGTCAGAGTGCAATGGTGCGAAAGGATCAAACGAAATTGCACTCCGCGTCAATGATGCCATTCAATGGTACTTTTAGCGCATGTCATGTGATCAAGAATTGACCAATGAGGTTGCAAGAATCTTAGTAGGCGTTGTATAAAATGGCCTATGGACCGCGGGAGTTATAATGATTTAGCAGCCCCATATGTTATGTATTTACTCATCACTTTTGTCAGCATATATGTGCGCCAATTTGTATATCTATCATTCCGTGTTCCTGCTCCAGTAATGCACCAGGTTATATTTTTTTTAATGAATGGAACTACGAATGACTTTATAATATAATTGTATTGACATAATGATATGATTCTCTTGATGTTCTGTCAAATTAATTCAGAAGAAGAAAACTTTTTTTTTTCATTCAAGCTATCCACTTCAACCAGCCCAATGCATTAATCATATCACTAACTCCACCCATCCTCGGACCAACACCATTAAAGGGGAAGGCCACCCTTTGTTGGTTTTTGATAAAAGAAGCAGCTCAGTGAAAGTTTGAGCAAAATTCAATTAAAAAGAAGAATGTTATGAGTTTAGTTGGCAACGTTATGACATATCTGCGAGCTCCTCTCTCATTTTTTATCTACATAACATTTCTTGTACTTTCATTTTCATCGTTATTGATAACGGAATGTATTTTCGTCCATACATGGGTCGTCTAGAATCATATTTGTAATCATTACGAAATGGCGCGTATGTAATTACGAAAATGATGAGGAAATACATATGGGACTGGTACATCATTATAACTCCCGCTGTGCAATGCGTTTCATGCAGCGCAAGTTAAGCAATGCGCATGACGTTCATGACATCATAGTCATGTTTATTCAGCCTGGTACTTTCATAAGCTTTCGTATGTATGGTTCTCTATATACCATGCAGGGCACAACATGAGCTACATAATGAAATATTTAATTACATAGCTAAACTAAAAGATATTTTGCTTACCTGATAAAGCGAGACAGACTCCTACAGTAACTGAGTTTTTGAAGAAAGCGCTGGCAATAATACATGATCCACACAACACTCCGCCTAGCATAGCGACAACACGATGGTTGATCTTCTTCAGAACAAGTGTTACAAAAGGACCTAATATGTTGACAAATAAGGAGAAACGATACTAAATTAAAGTTACAAATATGAACAAAACGTGATATAATTACGTCCAAAAGTAAACACTGTTTTTAGAAACGTTTAGGAATTTCCCATCATCCAAATGTCAGAGTTATACTTACATGACAACATGATTATACCATATTGCTGCCCGAATATGAGGTGACATTTAAACAGATAAATAAGGAATTACATTCAAGGTGGGGGAGGAGGAGGAGGACACATTTGACTTACTTAAGAGGTACATAGATGTTGCAGGCAAGCTACATATCAATCCGACAGTAGCATAATCTGACTCCAGACGCTCGACCATTGTAGGAATAAAAACACCGAGAGACTTCGCGATGCCAGTTACTATAAAAAGTACCACGGATTTGGCAACAACAATCCAGTAGCCCCAATACCACATACTGAATCTTGCTATAACTTGTGTACCCCTAATGCAGATGTATGATTAATCCAATCCAATCGAATCCAACAAGTATTTTATTTAGCCCTGAAGATATCGCTTCACATGATAGGGTCACCAAAGCAAGATTTCACTTAAACAGGACCAATTTGGGCAAAACAATCCAGTGTTGTCTAGCAAAATAGATAGGGCTTCAAACATTCCATGAACTAGACGGATGAAGCTGACTTCCAAAGAGGTATAGGGCCCGTTCCACAATTTTGCACCAAATAAGAGATAATTCTCCTGCGTACAAACGTCCGCCAAAGTTGCTTTTCGAGTCGATGATTATTTCAAAATTAGGTTCACGTTGATTTATTCAGTGTGTAGGCTACAAAGAATAGACGGTTCTTCTACTGTATTTCCACAGTACAGTGTCTCGTGGCAAAGTACATGTGCTTTCTTAATATTCCCATCAGCTTCTCTTCAAACAGGTTTTGTTGAAATATCTACAAGTTCATCTAAATGAACACTAGAAAATAGTCGTATACATATCAAAAACTTGGCAGGAATCTCAACAAGAAACCGACATTCCGGCTACAGTCTGTTTCAAAGTTAAAATCAGTATCCCTGTATTGCGACAATTGACGATTAACTTGCAATATGAACAACATGCAAATACGCGTTAATAGAAAGAGGATGCCTGAATGCCTATGGGACCAATGATGTGCAGTATCATTCCCTATGAAAGACCACGGAGTACGCCATTGTCATGTATGCACCTTTCAATAGATTACCTTGGGGAAAATAGATTTGTGTGACATTGTTTGTTTAAATCTTTTTGTCCATTACTCGATAATGTGTACGTTAAATGAACTTTAAATGACATTTGCAATACAACATATGAAATGAAACGTGTTCGTAATTATAATCTTAATTGTTTACACGTAATAAAATCATCAAATGATATATATAATATACAGGCCTAAGTATATTATCATTTAAGTCTAATCTAAATGAAAAGAGAAATCCAATTAAAAAGCAGAGCTTGTTTTTTCCGTGGATTACAAGGAGAAAAAAAAACCGTAGTATACAGCGCACAGACTCATATTCTGATATGCGCTATATAAGGTATATTATTATTATCTATGCAAATACATGTGCATAGCAAGAGGATGTATGAATGCATATGGGAAAAAGGATATAGAGTATGGGCTTCATGATTCCCTATGTAAGGCGGCATACATTTATTAAACATGTAATTGTTTATTTATGACTGCATTGAAGAAAAAACGAAAGATTCATCGGAATTTCGAATGACGACTATGCAGAAGAGGAACAGAGTCTGGGCAATGTAATCAGTGGTGGATCAATGTGGGACCGACTTTGCCGCGACCCTGCTACCCGACATAGGCCCTAAAGCAAAAAGTCTCGTGGCAAAGTAGTTCCTTATATTTATATATTTCATCAGCTTCCCATCAAATAGAACCTACATGAAATATCTACGTGTTCCTCTAAATCAATACTAAACAAAATAAAGTATAAATATTCAAGAACAAAATTATTATCAAACTTGTACTAAAATCAGTCCCAAAGATAAAAGCGATTGGCCTTTATCGCGGAAATGGACGGTGAACTTAACGTGTAGACGTAGGCTGTGCCTAGTTTGAGAGTTACGTCAACGAAATGGAAATCGAGACGCAATGCTTGAATGCATATTATATAGGTCAAAGTCTGTGAACCTCTGGCCAGTATCGGCTTTGTTATTCCCAATGAAAGGCCCCTTATATTCAACAGGAATTATTAAAGACTGGTTTGGGAAATCTATTATTTATCAAATTCATCGGAGTTTAACTGTTACTCGACATTTGCTACCTTGACCTTTGTTTGTTGCATGCACCTCGCTAGGCCTTTATCTTCTACACAGATCAATTTCTTTTAAAATCCGTTAAACGCGGAATCCGTCATTGATTTTAGGTATATTTCAAGAGTTAGATTATGATTGCATATCATGGCAATGTTCATTGAATAAATAAGTGATGGGCAATAATATTATTTATATGGAATGTAAATGTATATAGGAATGTTTGAAGGTTTGGGTATACATTTCCGTGCAGTGTAAAATGATGAAGTGTAAGTTACAGATGAGGTAATCAGTATAGATATGTTGGGAAGGTAATGATAAAGACATATCACACTATTGCTCACATAATAGGATGATAATCATCGCAGGCGTGTTACATACCACTCAACCATAGTAGTAATAAGAACACATACACATTTACCTATCACAGTACCATTAACAAGTAGAACAAACCTTCTTATGGCACGCACTTGCTTCTACAACAATCACATACACAGGAATACACAATGGAGCTTGCTATGACAATTTTACCTTCAAAGTAGAAGTGTGATTATTCCAATCCAATTCAAATGATAAGGATTTGAATAAAGCCTTGTGCATTTTCTTTGCAGTTACAAAGAGCTGCACATATCGAATTATTCACATATAAATAAAGCACAATTTCAACTATGTTAGAACAATCGACTCGAAAGAATCCTCTCCCGAAAGAAAAAGCGTAGGTAATCTGGAAACTAAGATGTATTTCTGCCCTTTGATGTACAATAGTCCTTGCGAAAATGAAAAAACAGATATATGTCACAGGCCTTCTATATGTCTGCGCCGGTTCAATGTATTAAAGATTATCAAACACGGAGATCCACTAAAAACATAAGTCTGAAACATATATTTTGTGCCAATAATTCCAAAGAGGTATTTATTAGTATCCGTCTATCCGATGTCAAAGATACACCGATAATAAATTCTCAGTGTAACATTGGATTGCACCAATGACCATCGTCGAGTAAGCACGCTCTTTTCACCGCCTCTCCCCCTTCCGTATCTTCCGCGTTATGTCGAAAGTAACCAAAGCAGCCAAGAGGCCACGCGGTGAGACGCCGCCCAGCCCAACCGATACAAGCGCTCTAATACCAGTGATACGAAGACTTTTAGATGCCCAAATGGAAAAATTCGAGAGTCGATTCAAGAACTTTGAAAGCTCGTTATTTACTAAAATTAAAGAGTTGGACAATGACCTTAATGACATTAGAGCTATGCTGGAGTTTCAAAGCCACGAAACAGACCAGCTAAAAGTAAAAATGGCTGACATGGAAACAAACTTCAAACGAAAAGAAGAGGAACTTCGAGAGGAAGTCGACAGATTAGCTACGTATGTTGCTAGAGAGAATTTAGTCATCTTGGGATTGAAAGAAGTGAAGGACGAAAATCTCTCCAGCGAGCTGAGTAAATTGTACAAAGATAAACTAAAAATGGAGGACGATGTTATACAACGAATTGAGTACCAGAGAGTACACAGGGTGGCTGCAGCGGGTGGGGGACCCCGCCCTATTAAAGCGCGATTTACTCGATATGCGGACAAACTCTTGGTGCAGAAAAACGCCAAACTTCTCAAAGGCTCCAACATTTATTTGGCGGATGACCTACCTAAGCATGTGAGGGAGCTAAGGAGGGTGCAGGTACCTACCCTAAAAGCAGCCCGGAGCGCAGGGAAACTAGCGTTTTTTGGTCGTGCGGAGCCAACGAAGCTTTTCGTAGACCATGTCCTAGTTCCAATCGGGGAACAGAAGAGCCTTATAAACAAATTGGAGAAGAGCGCTATGGGAGTTCAAGTCAAGGTGGGGCATACGGCAGCGATCAATGTCCGGGACAACAAGGAAAACGAGGAAACGAAACTGACCGAGCAGGCTGAAGGAAATGTTCTACGAAACCGAGAGGAACAGAGGGAAACGAATGAGACGGGAAATCCTATCAGAGGAGCGGAGGCGCCAATAGAGGTGATAGACACAAGGGTGTAACGACCAAGGGAAACATCATTGCAGCGACCAACGTCAGTGGTGACAGGAAGGAGCATGGAGACAAGAAACAGAGGGAGAATAACCGTTTAAGATAAGTAAAAATTCCATATTGATTATTTCAAAAACCAATGTGAGCTGAAATGAGGATGGAGATGGAAACAGAAGGAAAACAGCCATCAAGATGAATGAAATCTATTATTAAATATTTGAGCAGCCAATATGATCTGAAACGGAAACGAAAAAGAGAAGAAGAAGAAGCAAGCAGCTGAACTTAACAATGCGTTTGAAAAAAAAAGAACAACAATAATACCAAAATATCTCATTCGGTATTTATGAAGAAGAAAACTTTTAAGAAAAAGAAAGACTTTAATGAGATGTTCGAAAATAATTATATTTTGGCTATAGTATGTAGAGCAGAAATGGTTTATTGATAAATGCAAGAGATGCGTTAATGTTATGCTTTGTAATGGATAAGTAAGAAAAGACCAAAAATCTTTTCGATGGTATCCGACTCATTTGAAACATTGAGTAATTTGAAGATAATATTGCCAAGGGCTAATTCATTCTGATGAAAAGAAAAGAAAGAAAGAAAAGGTAAGGTTCGAATACAAGTATGAACTTTGGTTTTTATTATTTTGCAAAAAAAAAAAAAAAAGGTTATGCCATACAAGATTTCTAATGGATGTTTGGAAGGAAAGACTTTAATGAGATGTTCAAAAAATAATCATATTTAGGCTAACTAGTATGTCGAGCAGATTAGTTAGGAAACATAAAAAGAAAGACTTCAATGAGATGTTTCAAATATAATTTAATTTTGGATACCTAGGTTCGAACACAAGCATGAACTTTGATATTCATTATTTTGCAGAAAAGGTTAGGAAGAAGAGAACTGTTAAGAAAAGGAAAGACTTTAATGAGATGTTCGAAATAATTATATTTTGGTTAACTAGTATAAAGCAGAAATGGTTCATTGATGAATGCAAGAGATGCGTTAATGTTATGCTTTGTAATGGATAAGTAAGAAAAGACCAAAATTCTTTTCGATGGTATCCGACTCATTTG